GGGGGTGGATCCAGATGGGAGGGGAGGTGGGAGGAGTCAGGAGTAATAAAAGGAAGGGAAACCATAATAAGGATATATTATGTGAGAAAAATATCTATTTTCAATAAAAGGAAACAAAAGTGTTAAAAGGGATTATGGAAACTGGAATGTTCAAACAGACTGCATACAAGCAATCTGAGTCTCCTGTACCTTCATATTTGATGAGAAGGGATACATGTCTGCTTGGAGCATACTATCCTACAAGATACTGTCAAATCAAGGTACTGATAGAGTCTCAAGAGAACCTTACTTGTAATAGTAAGGATGAATGGGATGAAGTTCACAGTCTCATCAGGTCATACTTCAATAACTTGTACTCCACAAAATTGGAAAACTTTAAGAAGATGGACAATTTTCTAGATAAGTACCACATACCAAAATTAAATCAAGAATAGTTAATCAGCTTACATACCCTAAAGAAACCCTAAAGAAATAGAAACAGTTATCAATAGTCTCCCAACCAACAAAAAAGCCCAGACCCAGATGGTTTAGCACAGAATTCTACCAGATGTTCAAAGAACTAATACCAATACTCCTCAAATTATTCCACGCAATAGAAACAGAAGGAACATTGCCAAATTCTTTTTACAAGGCTACAATAACCCTGATACTCAAACCACACAAAGATACAACTAAGAAAGAGAATTACAGGCCAATTTCCTTCATAAACATAGATGCAAAAATACCAAGAGCACATCAGAAAAATCATCCACCATGACCAAGTAGGCTTCATCCCAGAGACGTAAACACACGAAAATCTATCAATGTAATCCATCACATAAACTGAAAGAAAAAGCCACATGATCATCTCATTAGATGCTGAAAAAGCCTTCAACAAAATTCAACACCCCTTCATGAGAAAGGTCTTGGAGAGATCAGGGATAGCAGGAACATACCTAATCTTAATAAAGGCAATATACAGTAACCCAACAACCAACATCAAACTAAATGGAGAGAAACTCAAAGCAATCCCACTGAAATCAGGAACAAGACAAGGGTGTCCACTTTCTCTGTATCTGTTCAACATAGTATTTGAAGTTCTAGCTAGAGCAATAAGACAACAAAAGGAGATCAAGGAGACACAAATTGTAAAAGAAATCAAACTCTCACTATTTGCTGATGATATGATAGTTTACATAAGTGACCCAAAGAATTCTATCAGGGAACTCCTACAGTTGATAAACACCTTCCGTGATGTAGCAAGATACAAGATTAACTCAAAAAAAACAGTAGCCCTCCTATGTACAGATGATAAATGGGCTGAGAAACAAATCAGAGAAACATAACCCTTTACAATAGCCACAGATAATATAAAATATCTTGCGATAGCTCTAACAAAAAAGTGCAAGACCTGTATGACAAGAACTTCAAGTCTTTAAAGAGAGTAATTGAAGAAGATACCAGAAAATGGAAATATCTCCCATGCTCTTGGGTAGGTAGGATTAACATAGTAAAAATGGCAATCCTACCAAAAGTTATCTACAGATTCAATGAAATCCCCATCAAAATCCCAGCACAATTCTTCACAGACCTTGAAAGAACAATATACTCAATTTCATATGCAAAAACAAAAACCCAGGATAGCCAAATCAATCCTATACAATAAAGGATCATCTGGGGGCATCACCATCCCTGACTTCAAGCTCTACTACAAAACTATAGTAATGAAAACAGTTTGGTATTGGCATAAAAACAGACAGGTGGACCAATGGAATCAAATCAAAGACCCTGATATTAACCCACACACCTATGAACACCTAATTTTTGACAAAGAAGTTAAAAATGTAAAATGGGGAAAATGAAAGTATACTCAACAAATGATGCTGGTATAACTGGCTGTCAACATGTAGAAGAATGCAAATAGATCCATATCTATCCCCATGCACAAAAATCAAGTTGAAATGGATGAAGACCTCAATATAAATCCATCTACACTGAACCTCACGGAAGAAAAAGTGGGAAGTATCCTTGAACACATAGGGACAGGAGATCACTTCCTGAATAGAACACCAGTAGCACAGACACTGAGATTGACAATTAATAAATGGTACCTCCTGAAACTGAGAAGCTTCTGTAAAGCAAAGAACATGGTCAACAAGACAAAATGGCTCCCTAAAGAATAGGAAAAGAATTTCACCAACCCCACATCTGACAGAAGGCTGATTTCCAAAATATACAAAGAACTCAAGAAACTAGAAATCAAACTACCAAATAATCCAATTTTAAAAATGGGGTACAAATTTAAACAGAGAATTCTCAACAGAACAATCTCAAATGGCAGAAAGACACTTAAGGAAATGCTCAACATTCTTGGTCATCAGGGAAATAAAAATCAAAACAACTCTGAGATTCCATCTTACAATGATCAGAATGGCTAAGATCAAAAACACCAGGGACAGCTTATGCTGAAAAGGATGTGGAGACAGGGGAGCACTTCTCCATTGCTGGTGGGAGTGCCAACTTGTACAGCCACTGTGGGAATCAGTATGGAAATTTTTCAGAAAATAAGGGACCAATCTACCTCAAGACCCTGTGATGCCACTTTTGGGCACACACAAGGACATTTGCTCAACTATGTTCATAGCAACATTATTCATAATAGCCAGATCTTAGAAACAACCTAGATGCCCCTCAACTGAAGAATGGATAAAGAAAATGTTGTATATTTACACAAATGGAGTACTGCTCAGTGGTAAGAAACAATGACATCCTAGAATTTGCAGGCAAATGGACAGAACTTGAAAAAAAAAACATCCTGAGTGAGGTAACCCAGAACCAGAAAGACAAATATAGTATGTACTCACTCATAAGTGGATACCAAACATAAAGCAAAGGATCCCAGCCTACAACCTATAACCCCAGAAAAGCTATAACCTTTTTCCAGAAACAGAAACAAATGCAGAAATCCACCACTAACCAATGAGCCAAGCTCCTGGAGTATAATAGAAGTGAGGGAGGAGCAATAATATGAACAAAGGAGTCAAGACCATGATGGGGAAACCCACAGAATCAGCTGAACAAAGCTAGTGAGAGATCACTGACTCGGGTCTGAGAAATGTGGAACCTGCATAAGACCAAACAAGACTACCTTAATATAGGTGACAATGGTGTGGCTGGGACAATATATGAGGCCACTAGCAGTGGGTCCAAGATCTAACTCTAATGTACAAACTAACTTAATGGAGCTCATTCTATATGGAGAGATACCTTGCTCAGCCTAGACAGGGGTGTAGGGGTGTCTTGGTCCTGCCTCAATGAGATGATGGGACAGACTTAGTAGACTTCCTAGGGAGGCCTAACCTTTCCCGAGGAGCAAATGGGAGGTGGGGGGAGCGGGAAGAGAGGAGGGAGGGGGAACTGGGATTGGAATATAAAAATAAATTAATAAAATAAGAAAGAATGGAAAATACTCAAAAAAAAGTTCACAGTCATCTTTCAACGGGCTTCGTGAATAATGGTTGCCTCTCTAGTACTTAACTGTATTATAGAAATGGGCGTATATCTAAATGGCAAATATTCACTTATACAATTCTATAACCTACGTGTGTACCTAGGCATGTCTACACAACTTTCGGGTAATAAGAAGTAAGCATTTAAAGTGTGAACCAGTGCAACACATGTGCTCTCTGTTCAGACAGTGAATGCTGCTATGTAATAGAGAAAGGCTCTACAAAACAGCCCCAAGTGGGACATACACTGGGCTCTGTGTGGACCTTAACCACAAAAACAGCTGTGAGCCCCTTCCATGCAGATGTCTCCAACCTTTTGAAACTGCAACTAGACTTTGTCACCTACAAAGTTCACAGTCAAGAACCTCATAATGAAGTCCAAAACAAATGGAATGAACTTTTCATTATATTCTAAGTAAATTCTCAACTTTGTGTTGGGCTGCATTAATAGATATCCTTGCCCACGTGGGTCTATGGGGTGTGGATTGGACAAACCTTGGAGAGTTTCTACCATAAGGCGATTTTCTCACCTACTGTTGTCAATCTAAACAAACAAACCAACAAATGATCAAAAGCTGTTTATTCCAATAGATAGATAATCTTTCAGATGAGCGTATGCATGCTCTACAGTTAACTGAGCTGCTCAGAGAAGTTGGGGCAAAGAGAAGTTTATAAAAACAATAACCAAGATCATCACAGGTAACACATTGAGAGAATACTCTTCAGCCATATTTGATCAGCGTTAGTTGTACACAACATAACCGAGAGTCATCAGAAAAGAGATAACTTCAACTCTCGAAGAATTGCGTACATCAGATTGACCTGTGGGCCATTGTCTTGATTATTAATTGATGCAGGAGGGCCCAGCCTCCTAAGCTTCTGGGTAGATGAACAGTTAGACATTCTTGAAGTTTGGTACAACAAACAAGATTGTAGAAGCCTTGTTGCCATTTCTCATTTTTCAGCTTGCGCCCCTCTTCCTCCATATCCTTTGTAGCATCCTTCATAGGAAGCTAAGCATACGTAAGCTAATCGTATGCCGTGTAAGCTAACAGCATGCAGTGAGGGGTTTTAGGACCCCAATGTGTGTGAGGTTTTTCAGACACACAGGTAAGACATCATGGAGCTTGGAAGTGGCATCTAATGGGAGAGGGACAACCTTGGGGCATAGCATGACACTGTGAGATCTGACAGTGTATCGGATCAGAGCTGACCTGAGTTAGAGGTTACATATCTGGTGTCTGCTAAAGAACTGATGTTTTGCTTTTTTTTTTTTTTTTTTTGGTTTGCTTGTTTTTGTTTGTTTGTTTTGGAAGACCCACACATTTTGGGATCACAGAAGTGATGTTATGAGAGAAATGTTCAAGAAACACCTTGAGGACATTTTTTTCTACTATGTCATCATACTAGGAACTCCATGACTCTGTACCCATTGTACTTCTTTTTCTGGCCCTCCCCAGGGTGACGTTACACCAAACCTGCTCTCACTGTGATCCTCTTCCTGTGTTGACCATGCCTGGGTGGAGCTGCCTGGTGACCGGAGCAGGAGGGTTTCTAGGCCAGAGGATCGTCCGCATGTTGGCTCAGGAGAAAGGGCTGCAGGAGATCAGAGCCTTGTTCCGGTCCTTTACCCCGAAACACAGAGAGGAATTATCCAGTAAGTGACCTAGAAGCTGGTGAACATGGACTGGGTATGAGGAGGGTTTCCTTGTCACCAAATAAAAACCAGGTGGATCTGTAAAGAGTCTCAACAGGGATAATCACAGTTGGCGCAGCAAAAAAAGGACTGCATAGTTGGAAAAAGCGAATTCTGCCTGACCCAGAACTAGAGAGCACAGCCATGGGTAAGGCCCTGGGCCTTCAGGTCTCCCTCCTATTTAGACATTGAACATCAGTTTTCTCCTTCCTGGAAGCTTTTGTGTCTTCAATGGTCTGGACATGGCAGTATTGTGCAACACTAGCAAAATATTATTAAACTAGAGACTTCAACAGTGGGTCCCTGCTTCTTTTGAACCTTCCGACTGACTTTGTAGTTTCTTTTTATTTAAGACTAGGGGAGAGTGAAGTTCATAGCAGGAAATGGTTATAATGTAAAGGCAAATTTATAAAGTGGGTGGGGAGGGGAATAAGAAAGAGACAGAAGGTGATTGGAGATATGCACAGGATAGAAACACACTGAGGGCCAGGTGGACTTCTTATGTCTCATGGGGATTCCGCCCATCATTCCTGTTCTCTGTCCTTCATCCTCAAAGAAAGTGACTACAGATTTTGCTGGAAACTTTTTTTTTCTGTTATCTCTACCCCTTTCCCAGGCCGAGTGCAAGCACTGGATTGACAGTGCAATTTCCCAGCAGCTCCATTTTCTCATCCCTGCTCCTAGTGTGAGGCCATGATGAATGTATCTCTTCCTCCATACTCTCCAGAGGTCACGTATACCCTTTTGCTTGGATCCCACTCACCCATCCCTTGGCTTTGTCAGAGAAGGTCTGGATAAAATAATTTATCAGACATCTTATAGGCTTCTTGTATTTTCTTCACCTTCTTCTATACCTATTTGATTGCCCTTTCTTCCCAAGATGAATCTCTCCCTGGAGCTGGTCTGATATGGTCCTATGAAGAAGGAAGGTGACTGAGGCCTGTCTTAGTTAGCATCTCAAGACACTGGGCCAGCATTGTTGCGTTAAAAGTAATAGTCTTCAGAGTTTTGACACACAACAGTTGCAAGGGTTTTGTTCGGTTGGAACCTCCAATTAGTCCCTGCATGGTCTGAGAAGCCCTATTCCTCTCTCTCTCTCTCTCTCTCTCTCTCTCTCTCTCTCTCTCCAAACCCCACCAACTCAGAGAGTCTCTAAACAAACAAGGAAAAAAAAAAGGGCAAAGTGGGTACCTTTCAATGGACCCTGCCAGGGTATGCCACTAAGAAAACAACATGAACAGTCTGGCAAAGGGTTTCTCCCTCCTCAAGTTCTATTCTGGCTAACAAAAAGCAATTTAGGAATGTATGCCTTGCTTTAATATCTCATTAAACCAGCATTGTTTTAAATCCCATCTTTCATAAACCTTGTTTTCATGACAGGACAGGAATTATCATATAAAATACATCCTAACCTAAAATATCTTGGAGACCTGTTGTTGCCTCCTTGGTAGGCCCATTCTCTGTGGTCACATGACCTTCCTCTACTCCTACCCTAGCAAAGATGGCTACCAGCCTAGTGGCTGTACTTAGTTTAGTTAAGATGGTGGTAAGCCATGTGTTGTTTCCCAAAACAGCTCCAATTTAGAGTTGCAAGTTTGTTTGTTTTTTAAGATTTATTTAATTATTATGTATACAGTTTTCTGCCTGCAAGTATGCCTGCACTCCAGAAGAGGGCACCAGATCTCATTATAGATGGCTGTGAGCCACCATGTGGCTGCTAGGAATTGAACTTAGAACCTCTGGAAGAGCAAGCTGTACTATTAACCCCTGAGCCATCTCTCCAGCCCCCTAGAGTTACAAGTTTTAAGTTAACTTTTTGTTACAAATTTTTAACCATACCCAATTCCCTTAGTTGTTTTTTTAGTAAAGTAGACTAGCATAAAACAACATTAATATTATTTATACCAAAATGACACATGACTCTCTGTTTTTTACTTAGTTTCAGTGGCCAGAAAGCCCAGAGGCGAATCCTGAGCCCAAGCAGCTGGTTGCAACAGTAACAGCTGAGCTATCACCAACACACATGGAACATAGGAAACTCATGCAGATTTTCAACCATACCCAATTCTCTTAGCTGTTTTATTTAAATAAACTAGAGCAGTTTTAAAAGGAAACACACACACACACACACACACACACACACACACACACACACACAAACCTAATAAAAACAAAACAAAGTCCATTTGCATAGTTTTGAGCTAAAACTACATTTTTAAGGCAATTCCATTTTTTTCCCTAAGGGAATTTGGAAAAAGTTAATTTGTTATTTTTTTAATCATATCAGATTTCTGGATATGTTATACAACCTTGGAACATATGTAAATGCATATTTGAAAATACAGGTCTAACACACAGGTTCCTTGAACTTCCAGAACATTCTGAAATCCCAGAGTCAGTAGTAAATGAAAAGCATTTCATTTTTAGTTTTTAAAACAAATAAAAGGTTAAAGTAGTTAGTAAAAATTACAGAACAACACAAAAAATTAAAAACAAATGAGATGTCAGACTCTGAATGGCCCACCTGTACCAAAGAGGTGGCGGTAGGGCCACAGTTCCCTATTAAGGTCAGATGCAAGAGTCTTCCATTTGTTTTGCTCTTCCCAGTATTGAGGATTGAAACATATGCCTTTTTGCTTACTGGAAAAGTCTTCAACTTTAACATGGAGAATCAAAAGTTATTTAAGTGCCAATGTGACTTGGTATCTGTCCACTGTCTACAGGAGTCAATACTGTTTGATCTCAAGTGCATCTGTCCCAGAAGTTGCAGCAGTCTCTTTGGCCACCAATGCTAATAGGGTAACAATTCCTAGGAGGCAAGAAGGCAGTCCAGTATGACTAAGTAGCTGGTGTTGGTTCAAGGTTCTGGAGTCTGACCCTGAATGGTTTAATTTTGGTGTATTCAAGCACAGCACAATTCAGCAAAACTTGCCTGGTGATACTTAACTCAATCCCATGTCCACAACAAAGCACACATAAACCTTAAGAAGCAAAGTAAGCTAAATAAATATCAGGCACGACTTCATCGAAAATCTTTGTAAAGTACATGTGATAACCTTCCATAAAGATGGATTCTACAGATTGAGAAAAAACAGCCTTATGATAAGGGACTCGGAGAGGGTCCAGTATGATCTCCAGCCATACAGATTGTGCAAAAGCCCCTAAACTAGAATGCACATCCATTCCCAGCCGTCTGGGCAGACTACTGGTGATGCTTTCCTTCCCTTGAAGGAACAACACTGTGCTGACATCCCAGGTTCCCCTAGTGCTTATCTGTGGGCACAAGGATCTCTGTGCCTCCTATAAGTCCAGTGCCTTTATGAAATGCTTTTACAGCTTTCTCAAATCATTCACAACTAGTCCAACCGTTTACACCATTCTGGGTCTTACTCTTTCCTAATTTGGGACCATCATTATCTGTAGGGAAACAAACAAACAAACAAAAACTACCTTCTGCCTTCTTCTCAACACATTTTTCAATTTTATAATTATCCTCATAAATCCTTATAAAACATGTCACACTTCCCTCCCATACATACTGGGTTGTTTCCCTGTGTTACATACAACAAAATGCCAAAAAAAAAAATACAAACTTCAAATTTCCACCTCATGTTTTAGTATTTTAACTTCCTTAGAAATCACTTAGGCACCCTGCCTTGAAACAAGCAAAGAAAAAGAAATATAACTTAAAGCATCTTAGTAAGGATTGCTATTGCTGTGATGAAGCACCGTGAGTAAAAACAACTTGGGGAGGAAAGGGTTTATTTGGCTTAAGCTTCCAAATCATCTTTATCATCCAAAGAAACCAGGCCAAGAACTTAAACAGGGCAGGAATCTGGAGGAGGGAGCTGATGCAGAGGACGTGAAGGGTTACAGTTTCCTGATTTGCTCTCATGGCTTGTTCAGCCTGCTTTCTTACAGAACACAAGGATGACACCACCCACAATGGGCTGGACCCTCCCACATTGATCATAATGATGAAAATGCCCCCTGGGCTTACCTGCAGGCTGATCTTCTGAGGGCATTTTTCTCAATTTGAGGCTCCCTCCTCTCAATAAGAGTAGAGAATCCTTCCAGTGTCTTGTGTCAGAAGCATCTTTAAGGTGGAAACTGTTTATATCCCAACCCTGATGAGATCCCAAAACAAAGGGAACTTTGTCTTCTGATTCTACAGACATGAATACAACACAATGTTAACTGACTTCCCCAGATTTCCACAGCTAAAATAAGACAAAGAAGGATAGGGGTCCAGGAGGTCAGTGGCAGCCTCTGTGGTGTTTTAAAGGTTAGAGTGTGGTAGTTTCTCTCTGGATCTCCTGCTGCAGATCACAGCACGATGTCAGCTCCATGATGTGGCAGTGAAGAACAATTGCCAAGTCCATGGTGTCTTGGACAAGGCTCTACCACAAAGCACTCAAGATGTCCCTTCCTGGTATCTCAGGACCCCGTCCCTCCCCAGAGAACTGATGTGTGAGTCTACTTCACCCTGTATCTGGGCTCCTCCTGCCCTGTCACAGTAACTCCTTTGACCCAGCCTGTCTAAAGTCATCAGCAAACCCTACAGAAAGAGACTCACATCCGTGTACCTCCTTCCCAGAAGGCTCTACCCCATCCTTCTCTACTTCGAGGCCTTCTTGGGGTTGCCTGACAGGGAAGGGAGGCCTAGAGTAGACACATTCAGCAGAGGTTGTAACCTATGCCAAGAGAATTTCTCCAGCTCGGGATTTCTACTTCTGCTTCTATCAAAGTATTCTTTGGCATTCGTTGCAAATTTTGACCTGGTTGTCTCAAAAGAGTTGATTCCAAACTCTCCTTGCTCTTTGGGTGCATAGAGAAGTGAGCATGGGTTGGATGGGGTCAGCAGGACAATAGAGTATTCACTGGAAAGATGTGTGTCCTTAGACATGTTCCCGGAGCTTTCTGCACTTTTCCCCACCTACTCCAAGGACACCAGAATCCCAACTTCATGAGATAGCTGGGAAAGGGGACAGCAAACTGGGAAAGTTGTGTGCACATTATGAAGCTCAAGCCAGAGTGGGACATTGGCACAGACTGCATGTGTCACACTATAAATTTTGTGAACTAACTTAGGTGACATTGTGATTGCTAGTATCTTCCTATAAATTTGAGAGGAAACTGAAGATAATTATTGCCTGTGGCTGTAGTATGGTCGCTTGGAGGCCACATCACTTACAATGTATCTATCTTATAGGAAATGCTCACCTAAACCCATCCTTGGAGCCCATTCTGAGTTCTCTCACTGCTGCTGGAGTTTTCTCTTGTAATTAACTGATCTAGCTCTTCATTTGTACTCAGCCCAGACCCAGAAAGTATCAAGACCTATCAGGGTCAGGGCTGAATTTTCCATCTTTGTGTCTCCCTCTTCTTGGTTCTCCTCACTGGAACTCCGGAAGACACAATCTGATTATCCTGTTGCTTGCCCAGGGTTACTCGTATGTCTTCATTCCTGTACATTTGCAACCTGAGACCTCTGTTACAGCTTCCCATGGCAGGACTCTGCCTCTGCTTCTCCTTCAGGCCAAATCCACAAGTGATTCCCCATTCTCCATCAATTAAATCCTAATTCCCCCTTTCTTACATTTGACTACCACCACCTATCTGGTCTCTTTAATGAGTCTATGAATTTCCATAAGTCTGTTTTCATGTGCAAAGCACGAATAACATCTTACTGCTCAGGTCCATTTTCTACAAAGAGATGGATAGAAGTGGATGCTTGCTCCTTCCCTACTAACGCTACATTCTGACTGCTGTGCGTTTATTGTTCCTTCAGTAGAAAGGCCTCCTCCCCGGGATCTCCTCACTCTGACTGCCCTTGAAGGCCTAGGGAACTGATACTGTGTCAGGAAACTTCCATCCCGTGCAGAAAGCTTCCCAATGACCTGCTTTATGTTCCTCAGAGCTGCAGACAAAGACCAAAGTGACAGTGCTGGAAGGAGACATTCTGGATGCCCAATACCTGAGGAAAGCCTGCCAGGGTATCTCTGTTGTCATCCACACTGCTGCCGCCATTGACGTCTTGGGTGCCATTCCCAGACAGACTGTGATAGACATCAACCAGAAAGGTACAGTAACTCAGGAAGATACTGAGTGAGTGGAAAAATTAGAATGGCCAAATAGCATGAGGACAAGAAGGGAAGTGCCAGTCATGATGCTCTGGGTCACCAAATGCCTCTGCTTGCCAGCCCAGCTAGCAGAACTCAGGGCTGTTGCCCCTAGTGTTTAGAAGAAGAAACCCGACTGAGAGGAGGGAACAGCGTCCTCACAGGTGATCAGAAACAGAGAAAAGATATAAAGTCACACCCAGGACACTCCAACTGCCAGGAAAGTTCTCCTGCTCCTCCAGGCCAAAGTGAGTGGATTCCATCTGCAAATGCTTGCTGTCCACCCCACTCACAGCTGCTCTGGACCAGACCCTAACCTTTCCTCTGTAAAGCGGCATCAGAGCTGCTCCACAAAGTTCTTCCAGGAAGAATGAGTTGGTTTTTTTGTTTTTGTTTTGTTTTTTGTTTTTTGTTTTTTTGTTGTTGTTGTTGTTTTGTTTTTTTCAGCAACGGCTTTCCATTTTCCACATCATCCCTTCAGATAGATCATCAGTCTACTCTTGAAGACTGGCCCTAGTCAGGGCACATTCTCCTCCTCAGATCCCTATCCCTGAATGCTTACTGCCTCTGAAAGTAGATTTCCAATATACTTTAATAAAGGACTTTCCCTATAACATGGTCACTCTGCTCCCCACCCCAAGTCACTTCTTAGTACCAGTGTACTCCAAGGTCCTGACTGGCATGTATCCCCCATGTGACCTCCAAATTTAGTGGCATGGGCTCCTTTTCCAAATCAACTAATTTGGGGATGGCCATTACCAACTCAAAAGGATCCCTTTTAGTTCTACATAGTTGTTTCCCTCATCCACTTCAGGTTGGTGCTATGAATACTCAGATTCTCAATTCTGTATTCCTCTTTACTGAATGAGGGGGGAAAGACCCTTTAAAGTCTAATTGTGCGTGCATCCTTAGAGATAGTGGTGCCCATCTGTAATCCTAGCACTCAGGAGGCTGAGTCAGGAAGACGATACCTTCAAGCCCAGTCTGGACTACATAGTAACAAGACCCTACCTGAAAAAATAAAATAAAAACACATATTGCAACTCTACTATGCCTACGTAGGCATGGTGTAATGTTTGAGCTGGTTCTGAGAATATGGTATCCTAAATTTTTGGATTAAAAGCTGACGCTCCCTTAATGAAATGAAATGCATGAAAATAAGTAAGAGTTTGCTTTTATTTGGTAGAGGGCTCTTTTTGATGGTATGTTGTTATTGTTGTTTCTGGAGATCAAACCTTGCACACAAGGCAAAGGCTCAACTACTGAGCAACATTTCCAAACCAAATGGAAATGTATTGATGTCTGTTTTTAAAAAACATAAAGGCATAATTTTCCAGAATAAAAATCTAGGGGAGAACCCTCCAGAAATATTTTTTGTTTTTGTTTTTGTTTTTGTCAGCTTGATACATAGTTGTCACCTGAAAAGAAGGAACCTCAGCTGAGGATTTGCTTAGATCAGATTGGCCTGTGGGTGTATCTGTGGGTACTTTCTTGATTAATGATTGATATGGGTGGCCTGGCCCTCTGTGGACTGTCACTCCTGGGCATTTAGTCCTGTGATTTATACAGGTAAGCAAGCAGAGCACATGGGAAGCAAAGTAGTAAATAGCATTCCTCCATGGTTTCTGCCCTTGTTCCTGAGGTGACTTTCTCAGTGATGAACTGTGATTGGAACATATGATGAGCCATGATAAGCCATATAAATCCTCTCCTCCCCAAGTTGCTTTGGTCATGGTGTTTATCACAGCAACAGAAACCAAAGTAGGACAGTGGCTTAGTGGAAGGGGCCTTGTCTAACATGTGGAAGAACCTAGGTTTGATCCCTAGCACTAAAAAGAAAAGTAATTATATGAATTATATGCAAACACAGAAGGGGAGAGAGGGAAGGGAGGAAGGCAGACAAGGAGGGAAGGAGGAAGGCAGACAAAGAAGGAGGGAGGGAGGGAGGAGGAACTCTATAAACTCAGAAACTTAGAAATGGCTGTTTTTCAGAATCTATATGTCACCTCTTTTAATTTGGGGATTATTCTGTGGCTATAGAATGGCAATTTGAGTCAAAATCAGGTAAGAACGCATTTAGGTCTGTAAGAGTCCTTCCATTGGGACTGAGGAGTAGATGAACCTGATTCCATGGCCACAGTGGGCCCTTTAGCTTATTTCCTAACAGTAATGGTGAGCTTCCTTGAACAGGAACTCAGCACCTATTGGATGCTTGTGTGGAAGCCTGTGTGCCCACCTTTATCTACAGCAGCTCAGTGTCTGTGGCTGGACCAAACTCCTACAAGGTGATCATCCAGAATGGCTGCGAGGAAGAAAATCATGAAAGCACATGGTCTGATTCATACCCATACAGCAAAAAGTTGGCTGAGAAGGCAGTGCTGGCAGCCAATGGGCACCCCTTGAAAGATGGTGGCACTTTGCATACCTGTGCTTTAAGACTCCCATTCATCTATGGAGAAGAAGGCAAATACATTTTAGCTACAGTGGATACAGCACTCGAGAGGAATGGTCTAATTAACAATTTTGGCAGATTCTCTGTCATCAACCCAGTGTATGTGAGTAATGCAGCCTGGGCACACATTCTGGCTGCCAGGGGCCTACGAGACCCCAAGAAGTCACCAAACATCCAAGGACAGTTCTACTACATCACAGATGACACCCCTCACCAAAGCTATGTTGATTTAATTTACAACCTGGGCAAGGACTGGGGCCTCCGCCCTGATTCCAGTTGGAGCCCTCCTCTGCCCCTGCTGTACTGGCTTGCCTTCATGCTGGAAACTGTGAGCTTCCTGCTGCGTCCAATCTACAACTACCAGCCTCCCATTAACCGCTATTTGGTCACAGTCTTAAATAGCGTGTTCACTTTCTCCTACAAGAAAGCTCAGCAAGATCTGGGCTATGAACCCCCTGTCAGCTGGGAAGAAGCCAGGGAAAAAACTTCAGAGTGGATCGGGTCACTAGTGGCACAGCACAGGAGGACACTGAATAAAAAAAACTCAGTGATGTGAAGATGGAGGGGACATGGTCCTGGGTGCTGTCAGGTCCTTCAGAAAGGGTCTAAGACACAACCCAACTCTTGGACATATTGGCCAACTTGTCTGCAGGTCACCAGAAGCCTTGCCAGTCACTGGCCCAGCTACAAACCTTCTGCCCTAAACACTTGCCCAACAACACACAGACTGTGCCTCAGCTGAACTCTCCAGAGCCTCCTGTAACTTAGAATTCCATCAGAGCTTCCATTTCCCCTCTTGTCTGAGAAAATTTCCATTGCTTCATAAAGCTCAAAGAAAAGAACAATAAAAACGTTTAATGCCTAATCTGGGAAAGATGTGATTTGGTCAATCTAGTTCCCAGTTTTCCTTTCTATATCCAATTAAGGCCATAGTGAGAACAGAAACAGAATCTCACTCCTATACAGGTGGACCCAAGCACTCCATGACTGACCTAGAGTGCCTCAGCACCGGGTCAGACTTCATCTTGCTCATAGTCTTAGGAAATTCAAGCCCTTCTCCTCCCACTGAGTGGTGTTGCTGACACTGGTTGCCAGTGGGTACAGCGCAGCCCTGGAACATAATCTGTTCCTCGAAGGCAGAGTCTTACTTCCCTTGGTCTCCCTCCTCCTTATCAAGTGTGCATGAGGCTCTCTAGAACCATGACAAGCCTTGAGAAGTACCCAGGAGGGTGTGAGCACTGCACAAATGGCCCTGGGCATCAGATGATCCAAGAGTCTCCTTCTAATGAATCCCCCCAAATACACCTCCTCCTGAGCCTATAATGTGAGAACCCACCATCCCTCTCTTTTCTTCCATTTCCCCATCTCTCATGCCCCTGCCCTCTATTGCTTCAGTAGCTTTCCTTCCCCTCTCCCTCCCTTTCATTCCTCAGTTTCCCTGAGCATAGGAAGCCTGTTAGGCAGGTTTGAGACTTCGCAGGATAACAGAGTAAGTCTCTGGCTACAGAACCCAAAGACGAAAGAGGCCCTGTCTGCTCAATCAGACATTGTCAAACTGAAGGAGCTGTGGGGACACGAAATAGAGGAAAGAAAACTGTCTCTTGTCATGACCAGGTATTAAGTCACCCACCTTTTGGTTATCACAGACAACACTAAAGTCTCACCCTGCATCAAAACTTCTTTCTCACCCCAATTAATTACTGTTTATAGGGAGCCATTGGTTGGGACTGAGCTCCTGTACTAGGATCAGGACACAAAACTATGCTGAAGTTCTATACAGCAAACCAAACTTAAGAGCATTTTCCCCCGACCACTACCTTATCAGGAGGGAGAAAACAACACCTTCTCCAACCAGCCATTCATAACCAAGGGAGTCCACTTAGTCTCACATTTACAAAAAGGTAATCTGGAGGTAGATACTCTGCTTTTGTCATCTAGTTCTGCTTTTTTTTTTTTTTTTTTTTTTTTTTTTTTTTTTTTTTTTTGGCTCCTGCCAGGTCAAGAGACTCCTGATTTCGGCTCACTGGACAATGTTCTATGGTTTCTGGGAATAAGTGTCAGTTCCAAGGGAGATTTCTAACCACAATTGGTTATACACTTCTGTTTTGAGTCCTGCATCTATAAATCTTTGAGTTGTCACTGAGGATATAGCTTCAGCATTCACTCAATAAGAGGAGGTGACAACGCTCCAGCACCACCTGCAATGACACAAGTCGTGACTCTCGCTGGGCATCCAGGTTGTGGGCAGCTGGAGACTGGAGCACATAGACCCCAGGCATCTTGCACAGAATGAGTGTCCATCAGCCCCTGGTAAACTGAACACTTTCCACAAGCCTGTTCCATTAGCACAGAAGGAAATGATACTGACAGGCTACGAAAAAGTGTCTTCATTCTCGATTTCAGCCTACTGAAATCCTTTATTGGATCCACTGGGCCATTTTCTAGGGGGAAAGCAGTCTCACAAAGTCTAAAGAGAGTGAGTGGAAAGAAAGATGTGTGTGTCTAGCCTGACAAGCATAAGGCCTTAGAATGCTTTGGATAACAAAGACCCCCCCCCCCTTACCTACTCAATCTGGACACAGTTGCTGGCGGCAGTTGGAGGTCCTGAACACAGAAGCCATGTACTACATGAAAACCACCACAAGGAGGCAGTAAAGGCACAGGAAAAGGGCAGCTGCCCCAGCCTGTGAACCTCCTTCCCTTTTCCTATGGATTCTGCAGTCTGTGATCATAGAATAAGGGAAGCACAGGGAAGGGCTCACCCACAGGTTTAAGTATGGTATGCAAACGATTGGAGAGAGTGGAATTGAGCAGAAGGTGTCCAGGAAAGCTTCCGGGAACAGGTGGGACTTGAAAAGGAGAGTTGGGTGGGTCCATGCAGGAGGACAGCCTGAGAGATGGAGGAGTGTAGGTGGAAGGGGACCAAGATGAGTGAAGATGCCAGACACCACTCAAGCAGGGTTTGCTGAGGGACAGTGGGTGTCCTGGGTGCCAGATAGAGCTGGGTACTAGACAAGGGTGGCCTCTGGGGACCCAACAGAGTGGCCTGGGGATGGTCTGCTTAAGGCCACCTGCAGGAGCATGGTAGAATACCAAAGGCAGTCAATGCTTGATCTTTGATCCCCAAATACTGGAGTGTGAGCTTGTGCAGCAGAGAGAGAGAGCACACAGCTCAAAGAAGAGGATGAGTGGCTACTGCTCCTCAGCCAAGTGTGGGATCCTGTTTCTTAACAAGATGGTGAGAGGCCACAGTGACACAACTGTCCCCCCTTGGTGTGAGTCCCACGTAGGCGCTTCATCCGAATCTGAACATTTGGAATGCTTGATATGACCTTGACTTTCAAAGACATGCAATCTGCTGGGAGGAAGCATGCAAACTAAGAAAATGTATTTGATGTTGAACCTGGGGCCCTGGTCTCAGTTTTCCATCTCTGACCAGACTTACAGTCTACTAGAGAGAGGGAGAGAAATGTGACATCGAATAGGGACTGTAGACAGGAAGGTGCACAGTGTCCTGGGAAAGGTTGAGTGTTAAGGGAGGTTGGCATTCATGCTGAATGAGGGAAGTCGATACTGCCGTCTTTAGCAAGGAATAATGACAGTCAGGGGATGGGGCCCAGGTCCCACTCAGCATGCCATGGAAAGCAGTATTTAGCTTTAGCTTTCTGGAAAGCCTCCTGGGGCAGATGGATTAGAAGAGATGAGGGGATACCCCAAGAATCTAGCAGCAAAATGGATGCACATAACTGGAACAAAATGGGATTCAGGTGTCTACTGTGTCCAGCCTGGGGCCGAGTGGTCAAGACCCCAGGGAGGAGTAAGCATCCTCACTGCAGGCCCATGGGCACATTCGCCCCACATGTGATCTGACATCACACAGTCCCCTCTGCTGGTTAGTTTTAACCATCGTCTTGACAGGAGCAGGCTGCATGGATACATTTACACCTCTCTGCTCTTGACTGTGTGTGTGATGTGACCAGCCTCTTAAGTTCCTGCCTTGATTTCCCAAAAATGATGGATCATAACCTGCGATAGTACGCCAAATAAAATCTTTCCTCCTTAAGCCACTTCTGGCCCTGGAATTTGTCACAGCAACAGAAATGAAGCCAGAAAGCAAGCATTCAAGCCCGTCTACTTGGAACTCCAAACCCTGCATCCTTTCTCTTCTCTCTGGCAGCCTAGCTTTGCTGCAGTTAGCAGTAGTCCTTGTCCCATCTGCCATTAAGGCCCTCTGTCTGGATAGCCATTCATTACATCTTTTCTGATCCCTAGATCACTTGGTTTGATGGTTCATCAATATTCAGAAGCTTCCTATGGATACCATGATTTTCCATGTGGCCATGCCAGGACACAGTATTCCTTCTGTTTAGAAGATGCCCAGCTGGCCTGACAGCCCATCCTTCTCAACTCACTCACCAGCTAGAACATCTCTTTTCACTGCCTACCTATCTCATGCATATCTAATTACATTGCCTTTATTCATATTCCACTTCCCCCCTCTGCATACCACGTTCTGAGGGCAAACGTATCATATATGTGAGAGGTGTGTGTGTGTGTGTGTGTGTGTGTGTGTGTGTGTGTGTGTGTGTGTGTGTGTGTGTTTCTGTGTCTTAAATCATGTGTGCCACTAACGCTTGGCACAAGAGGGCACATAAGAAGGAAAAGAATGGAAGGAAAGGGGGAAGAAAGGAAGGGAAAGGGGGGCAAGGGAAAGGAGGGGAGGGGAGAGAAAGGGGAAGGTAGGAAGGAAGGAGAATCAAAGCAGAAATGGACAGAGACCATGGCATAGAACAAAAAGCAACTGAAGGGAACTGAGGACAGATGAAGGGAGGGAGAGAGAAGCAGAATGTTTTAAATGACAAAGAAGAATGTCACCTCAACAAAAGTGATTTCAACAATTCAGCGAACCTTAACAAGTCATCATTATGGGAGTTGGGGAGCACTCCGACTGCACTGGGAGCACAGGAGAGAGATGTGCTCATTCGCATTACCTATAAAGGAGAAAAGGGGCTTGATGAGGAAGGGAGGGAGACAGAGACGGAGGCAGCAGACCTGAGAAGGAGAGAAGACTTCCACAAAGGAAATACCAGCTATAAAGATTGTAACAAGATGGAAATTTGATAAAACTCTAAAATGATGTCCATGGCCTTGCTATACTATTTTTTAAGTCTGACTTTAAAAGTTGATAAATCTTAAAACCTCTTCAATTCGGGGAAGTAGGAGTCAATCCCTCTGGAGGGAAGTACTTTGCACAACATTGATGTTGGGAGAAAGTCCCCCCAACCCACCCGAGTCAAGGTCTCTCAATATGGCCCTGGCTGCCTGGCTTCCATGAAACTCACTCTGGAGACCAGGCTGACCCCGAACTCACAGAGATCCACCTGCCTCTGCCTCCCAAGTGCTGGGATTAAAGGTGTGCGCCACCACTGCCTGAAAGTTCTCTCTCTTTTTGACAGCCAAAATCTCACATAAAAATAATGAGCCTACAATAGAGACAATTTTTCTGAAGCCTGAAGGGTGGCAGAAAAGGGAGGTGAATGCAAAGGGAATTCCCAC